GGGGAGGCTTCCGTGGGCGGGGGGACTCTTGCCAAGCCAGGCAGTGCCCTGCGGTGACAGAACGTCCTGGGCTCTGCTGCTGGCAGGCGGTGAGCAGAGCTGTCACCTGCTGCGGGTCTCCTCATGAGCGCTGCTCACAGTGCACATGAGCTTCCAGGGCCACCTCCGCAGACCACGCGGGGAGCTCCTGGGGGTGACGTTTCTTGGTGAGGGAAAAGGAAATGCTGGAAACGGCCAAGCCAACCAAGCTCAAAGATGACACTTTCAGGTCTGGGGCTCTGCTGGGAATACTGGGGAAGAGAAGAGACAGGAAGCCTTGCTGCTCAGGAATGAAGAGGATGGCACTAAGGCTGGGCATGGTGCTGGGCATGGGGGCATCCACTGCAGGGACTTGCTCCAAGCGACCACCCAGGGCCACGGCCACACCTGTGTCCTCGGTGACGCTGCTGAGGAGCCCAATTTTCTGAAGGTGGCTGGGGGTGGAGACGGACAAGGACATGACGTCGCCGATGGCCTCGTGGAAGCCAGGGTTGGCCCCGCTGCGGAAGGAGACGGGCTGGTCCTTGTACTGCAGGTAGTACTGCACATGGCCCATCTCGTGGTGCACCGTGAAGAGCTGCTCCATGGTCACTGTGGTGCACTGCTTGATCCTGCCGGGTGGGAAAAGAGCGTAACAGGGCTGGTGGGGTGGCCACGATGGTGGTTCCCCGACCTGCGACCAGGGACGGTGGTGGTTGTGGGGAGCTTGGAGCCCCTGGGACTCTACACACCTGAAGTCCTTGCGGTTGTAGAAGTCCCAGGCTGAAGCGTGACAAACCACATCCCGCCCATCCGTCGGCTTCTCCAGCATGGACTTGTTCCAGAACTCGGTGGGCATCTCCTCCAGGCCCAGGGAGGTGAAGAATTGCTCCGAGACCCGGAACATTTGGGTGGCATTCCAGCCCTGGTTGGCAGAGCCCAGCAGGCAACAGGTCACAGCAACAAAGAGGCTGCCGACCTCCTGGGCGTCTCTCCTGCTGCTTTCCCAAGTGCCAGCCAGCACCATAGGAATGAGGCTGTTCTACCCAAGAGCTGGGTAAGCAGTTGGAAGGGGATGGAGTCCTGCCCCTCTCGCCCCAAGTAGGTGTCCTAGCCTCCAGAAATGGGGTCAGCTTCTCTGAGAAGTGCCCAGCAGTGGTGCTGGGTGGCCAGCAAGGACAGCAGAGCTGATGTTTAAGAAATACTTGGACCTGTGCGTGAGTGTGTGATGGTGTGGATGCAACCCACATCTCCAAGGACCAGCACTGATGCTACAGCAAACTGCCTTTCCTCTCTCCCCACCTTGTTCTTTTGTGTTCACTGCTGGAGGAGGAATGGGGCATATTTTTGTGTCCCTTTCCCCCCCCAGACACTGTTTTTCTGCTGTCTCCTGTGCAGACATGGAAAATTGCTGCCATGGGGCCAGGAGCAACATTGTGGGCAAACCCTAACCAACATCCCTCTGGCTTTTGTCCCCACCAGGGCCAGCAGCAGGGTGCCCTCAGCATCTCACCTGCTGCACCATGGTGCTCGTCACATCGAGATTGGGCTTCTCTGGGTAGGGGATCATCATGTCGTAAATGTTGTTCCACTGCTGAGCCCACATGTTGCCTGAAAACAAGCAGAGCAGAAGGGGTCAGTGGGCTGGCAGCTCCCAGGATGGCCCTGGGGCCCATGTGCTAACCCAGGTTGAGGTGGAAAACAGGGTCAGTTCAGGAGCGAGAGAAACACAGGCTTCCCCAAGGACCTGTGGAAGCATCTGCCCCACTGTGGCTCTGTGTGTGGAGCTGGGGGAGGCTTCTCCTCTTACCCAGCAGGTGAGCAGGGATGGGACCCCTCAGGTTGATGTATCTGGGGCCATAGCGCTCGTAGAGCTTCCTCCGGACGAAGGCATGCAGGTTGAGGTAGAGCGGCTCCAGCTGGTTGTAGAGCTGTTCCAGGTCGTCCTCGAAGGTGGGCGAGTCATACCAGGAGCGCCAGTACTCACCCGTGTCCTTGAAATCTGCCAGGGAAGGAGCCGTGAGCGCGGGCTCCAGCCTCCAAGGCTGAATTGCTCCTGCTCCGGGAGCACCGGAGAGGGGCCGGGGCTGTGGGCTCCCCGCTGCCTCCCCCGGCCCCGCTCGCACCGTCCATCTGATAGGCCTCGTTGCTCAGCTTCACAAACTCCTCGTACTTGGCCCGCAGCGGGTTGCCTGCCTCGTTGTGCCAGCCCTCCCAGGCATAGAGCAGCTTCTTGTAGTTGCGGGAGGTGGCCATGATTTCCGAGATGTCTGGGACAGGGAAGAGTGGAGTGAGAGATCCTGGTGGGAAGGAGGGTGGCAAAACCCATAGCTGCTCTTAGAGGGTGCCAGCAACCCCGCCAGACCCAAGTGCCCCAGGACAAGCACTGAACGGAGACCTTGGACCCTTCTCTTCCTGCTGTCCCATTCCAAGTGGGACACGCTCAGGGTCCCCAACAAAGCAGGAAGGTGCTTGCGGGAGCACATGTGATGCCTGGAGCGCTCTGCCAGGCTCCGGGGACAGGGACCATACCTGGCTCGAGCTCCCAGCAGGTCCCATTGGCCTGGCACACCTTGGCCGTGGAGTAGATCTTGTCCATGTCGCTCAGGATGGTGTTGTACTGCGGGGAGAGAAAAGGAGCTGTTAGGGGGTCAAAGGAGATGAAAATGGGTCAGGATTGGGGTTTTTGGTGGACACGAGGTGCCGGGGACAGGCTCAGCCCTGCTCTGACCCCAGCGGAGAGGAGGAGCATGGTGCAGGGCGGATTTATGAAACCTTCCCAGCTCAGCGTGCGTGTTTGGAGGAAACGCTCTGTGTGCACATAGCACATTTTTGGGTGAGATAAGCCTGTGCCTTTCCACACTTGGTGCTGGGGAAGCAGTAAAACAACAACCCTCCTCAAAGGCTCTTGCTGCAAACCCCTTCCCCGTGCAGGCCGGAGCACACGGAGTCCTGGGGCGCAGCTATTTATAACACACTTTGTCCGAAGGGCCACGTCTGAGACTGTTTATGTTGGGAGGCAAAAAAATAACAGCAGGAGAAGGAGGGGATTCGCTTCTGTGAGCTTCAATAGCCCCGAACAATAGCAACAGGAGGTTTCCTGGAGCCTGCCCAGGGCGCCCATTCCCAGGGAAGGAAATTCCTCGCCGCCGTCCCCTGATCAGAGCAGCTGGAGCCGCGGGGCGCTCCCTGCGCAGCCCTCGCTGCATCGGGGATGCCGCTGGTTATCTAGCAGGGATGGGTTTCCTGGAAGGAACCGGGGCCGACGCCGCTCTGGAGAGCATTATATCACCATGATCTGATCCGGGGCGGTGGCAGGGGACCCTCCAGCCTTCCCAGTCGGGTTCTTACTGCTGGTTGCAGCTCCCAGCTCTATCTACTTGCAGAGGAGGCTGGGGAACTAGTGCCTCCCTGTCTCTCCCCACCCTTTGGGCATCAGAAAGGTCAAAACGTGGCTCAAAAAGCCTTTTCCAAAGTGACAGGGGTGTTTTCAAGCCAGCCGGTTCCAGAGAATGCCCAAGACGTTGGGCATCATGTGAGTAGGAGACCTCAGTAGCTTGGGGGGCTGATGCTACAGGCACAGCGGGACACCTGGAGACCCAGCATCCATACAGACAGGGGACCCCAACCCTGGTCCCTTTCCTGTGTCCCCAGTGTGGGGACATGGCATTGGCCAAGAAAAACCTCCTAAACGCCAAGAGGCTCCCCCAGGCCAGAAAAGAGACCTGGAGACCATGAGAAAGGCACCTGCAACAAGGATCCAACCAGGATGCTCCTGCACCCGCCTCCTGGGGCTTCCTCCAAGCCCTCCGCCATGGCCGTGCCTGGTTCCCTACCTGCTCTCTCTTCTCCAGGGGCAGGTTGGAGGGTCCCAGGGTCTGGATGGAGCCGATGATCTTCTTTAGCTCCGCGTCACTGAAATTGCTCCAGATCTTGCCGTAGAGCTCCTTGGCTTTCTTGCCCCAGACCTCGGTGAAGTTCTGCTCCTCCAGGGAAGCCTCCACCTGAGCGGCAAGAGGGGACGTGGAAGGGATGGAGCGGCAGCGGAGCTGGCCCTGGGGTGGCCCCGGGGACGTGCTGGGCACAGGCAGCAGCGACCGCAGCCTCGCACGTGTCTTATCCCCCCTGCACGATCGCTGACAGCCGGATTTCCAGCCGCGAGGGCTCTTTGGAGGCAGGAGGGGGCTCAGCCGGGCACACACAGGTGCCTGGTGAGGTGGCCGGGCGCAGTCGCCACCCGACACGGAGCCGTCTGCAGTGTCCGTGCCAGCTGGAGGGCGCGAGGCGGCGGGGCG